CAAAATTCGGATCCATAAACTTTGAGAGTTTCTAAAATGAGTCTACTTTATTCATAATTATTATTATAATTTCTAATGGCCTCAAACCAGTGTGAAAATGTTCATCTTCACAGATTGGTCCGAAATCATTTCTGAAATGATAGGCAGTTTTGTAACAAATTGCCAAAAATTGTAACAAAAATGTATGAACGCATGAGTAGTCATTTTAAAGGTATAAACCTAAAATATTTTCATGTAAAACAGTTTTGAAAAATATTACTATCAAGGTGGTCCAAACAGTCCGTAATTAGACCAAAACCTTTCTGTTAAAAGCTGATTTTTGAGTTTAAGTTATACGTGTTTGAACACAACACTTATTTTCGCTATTTTGAGTGTATAATCCTAGATCTACAAGTCTACATGTAATATATATGATAACAAATACTTTTATCATGGTTTTTATGAATATCTAATTGATAAACTTCATGTTCAAGTAAAAACCCAAAAGTTAAACACATAACACAATGGTACATGCAAATATCAAACGGTTAAACGAGAGTTGACTTGTATCCTCGTCCCCAAAAACATAAAAAACATAAAATATATGGGGGTATGAATCTTACCTTGGCTTTTTCATTATGTGGATGAAGAAGAATATGAAACTTTGAACCTAGCTTAAGTCCTTGATGAGATTTGTGTAGTTTTGGTGTTCTAAGAACATATTCACGAAAATGAAGTGGTATGAGGAAGGATTTTTAGTGAAATCTTGGTACCAAGCAATATAATTCTCAAAAAAACTTACCTAGCTTGTGTATCTTGAAGAAAACTTTCTTGAATAACTCATACAAACTCACGATTTTTCGAGGAAGAAATGAGAGGAATTTTGTAGTTTTTAGAGGAAATAGAAGTGAAATGGAGTTTGAAATGTTTTGTAGGGTGGGGGATTGAGGTTTGGCCGAGATAAGGGAGGAGAGGGGAAAGAGAGACAGACAGAGAGAGAGAGAGAGAGATGTCTTGATACTTATTGGTCAAATACTCCCTTCATATATGTATGGGAGATAACTACCTTGTTATGTATGGTGTATTATTGAGGTGTCACTTGCATTATCCACCAGTCTTTTTTTTACTCATGGCCATAACCAATTAGGAGAGGTATTTGGCCCAAGGTTGGCCCAAAAGGCTAATGGGCTTCGAATTTTTATGGGCCCAAAGAAGTTTTTAGTCCACAATTGCTCTAGGAAAAGTATCGGCCTAATTAAGGGGTTTTTGGCCCAAGTATGAGGTTATGGAGTTTAAGTGAGAACTTTTGGCCCATCAGGGCCCAAAAAAATCTTTTGCCCAATGAGATTTTATGAGAGGACTTTTGGCCGAAAAAGCTGATTAATACTAAAAATGAGGTTTTTACAAGTTTACATAGAGGAATTGTCTCGCATAAGGGCCATAACCTTAACCCTAATTTGCTAGTTGTGACACTACCCTCACCCATTTAATATCCCTAAACTAAAATGAAAACCTTAAAGACAACCAAAATGTTTTTTAAATCCCTTTTAGGAACAAACCAACTTTGCAAGTTTTTGTTTTAATTCTATAGGGCAAATATGTCATTCAAACCTAAATAACTTTATAGAGAAAAAATAAGTTGAAACCCCTTAAACGTCTCTTAAATTTCCTTGTGGGTGTATTAGGTTCATCGAACGTTATCTAGGTAGAGACAAACATGGTGAATGGAGTTTCAAATGTTTGCTATGGGGGCAAAGATGGGAGACAGTGATGTCTAGGTAATGAGAAAGGGAGAGAGGGAGAGAGAGAAAAGGAGACGTGGGAAGATATTAGGGACATACGGGAGGGAGCCCGAGGTGGCGGTGTGGTTTCTTAGAGGGAGGGCATCAATGTTGACATAGAAGTTAAAGAAACTCATAATTGAAAGTGGTGAGATAAATATGAAGTAGAAGAATTAAGTCATAGTAAATTAGTAAGGTGGTGTCAAGTATTGTGGAAATGGTGTGGTTATTTGGTGCATCTAAAGAACCCAACCAATATCACCACCATCGTTGCATATTATGAACATGGATCATTACAAAAACATGGAGTTGATAAAAGAAAATATGTAAAAAACCTGGCACGTTTGAGAGTGTTCCTATCTCTTAGAGTTCGTACAAGTATGCTTCATGATTATGGTATTTAGTTTCTTCTAGAAAAATCATAATTGTATTTCCATGATAGATCGGATTTATCATATTATTCTAGTAGAGAAAGTGATGGGATATGTTGCTACAGCATACTTTGAGGAAGGAAATTCTTTGCATCCCCTAATTAAAAAAAGAATACTTAACTAGAGGATATAGATAAAAAAAAGGGTCATGAGTACTACCAAGAGATCGTAATAACACTCTTTGATGTCTAAGTTAGGATAAAGGTTCAGTGTATTACTAATGTAGACTTATATAGTGTAATGATGTGTATATGTATGAATTATTGGACCATTTTTGTTTTGCCTTTACTTACTATCATTTTTTGTTTATATAGGAGGTGCATGAAAAGTATTGTTAGGTATAAATAATGATTAAGATGCACACTCAAGAAATGATCATGATAATACAACGCAAGAAACTAAACAGAGACACAATGATTTACATGGTTCACTTGGTATTCAATGAAGCTCCATCCATAGGCAATTAGAGAGTATTTATTGATTTCTTGGTGCTATAAATAATGATAGTGTAATAAATGTCTTTCATACACTCATCTATCATTTCATGCATTTATTATTATATAGGGATACATTAACAAGATGTGTTTTATAGAGGAGTTGAACTAGGGTTTACTATCAGGGCTATGGGACCACGAAAAAATGTCCAGCATAAAGTCAGTTTGTCCCCAAAGATAGAAACCAATACTTTTGAAGCCTTCGAATGCTACATTATATTTGAAAATACTGTTTATATGCTCATTCCTTGATATTAGACTTAGTACTTCTAATTTTGCTGAGAACATCCTTTGAATTGTAAAGTTCATTGAAGCTTTGGTATGCTTCAGAGTGCTACAATAACCTTTCACATTTCCCAACCTAACCCACTTTTTCATTTAGACTCCACATCTCAATAATCTCCCACTTAGATGCTAATTTGGCGAAGCAACTTCTTTTAATATCGAATATGTAACCTGAATCACATATATCTTGAATTTTAGAATCTAGTTTTGAGGAAGACCATTCGTAGTCAAACTAAGCTTCAACTTATTCATTTTTACTAAATTAGTGAACATATCTATCAGATTCTTATGAATAATTATCTTCTTCAAAGTTACCATACATGCGTCAACCAATACTCTAATAAAACTGTATCTCATCCTGATGTGTTTCATTCTTGACTGAAACATTAGTTTATTTGATATGTGAATTGCATGCTAGTTATCACAATGTAGTACATAATATCCTTGATTCAAACCTAATTTATTAAAAGGAGATTCTTTTGCAAATGATTTATTTTCTACCTTTTACTATCGTTATATAGTTTACTTTAGCGATTGAAAGTTAAACACCCTTCCGTGTCGGAGAAACCTTCAAAAATGACCTTCTTGATTTGGTAACATAAAGCAACATTCAAATTTCTTTTCAAATAGAGAAAAAACCATTTGACTGCTTCTTCATTCTCTTTAGTTGGATTCAACATAAACTGACTGGCAACTCCCAATATATTAGCAACATCTCATTTGGTGCACATTATTATGTATATCAACCTACCTACCATTGATTGTGTAAGTAACTTTTCTATTTTAACCTTGCCTTCTTCAATTTTTGGGGTTTAACTCTTAGATAGTTTTAGGTGACTCCCTAAAGGGAACTTCGAGCTTTCTCATATGCCACATTGAAATTCTCCAAAACATTTTTAATGTACTTTTATTCGAAGCTCTATCTCTACTATAACAATGCCTAAAAAGTTCACAACTGTTAAGTCTTTCATATCAAACTCTCTACATAATTGCTTCTTCAAGATGATGCTCCCCAACATTTGGAGGACAAGAAATTTCTCATTTAATATATATATATATATATATATATATATATATATACACACACACACACATACACCACATTCTTAAGGTGGTTCAGAGCATAGATATATTCATAGAGTATACGAGGAGCACCGGGTTAATTTCTTAGCTATCAAAGTAGCTAATAAATCATTTAATGGGTTCATTTTGTTTGTAGAATTATTCATTTTGATTATTTTGTACTAGTTGATATGGCCATATTTATACATATATGTAGGCATTATTTTAACACATTTTAAGCTATATTTTTGTAATTTTCAAAGATATTTGCTATCTATTGAGTTTAATTACTGTTAACGTATCGTCTTGGGGAATGTCAAGAAAGAATCCAAACTGACAACATGCTTGGCGTAGTTAGAACATAGTCTAAAGCCAAGTGTGGGACTTCGCCAACGCGAAGACCACTGACATGGAGTTTAAGGTGCAAAACCACGCCTTAACCGCTTCTTCAGGAAGTTACATCCCGAAAAACGTGGGACCAATAAGAGAGTCCCACTCGCCCATTAGAAGATAGCCATGATCTTCATAAATGTTTAGGAGATTCCCTCCCAGCCATTGAGGGAATGAGGCAAAAGGCGTTACGAAGGACCCTCCAATATGGGTCTGCCACGTTGCACCTCAATAGGGAATCCTCAACATAATCGGTTAAGGGATATGCCTCTAAAACTGGTATAAAAGGATCCATCTTCCTGAAAAGGAAGCGGATGAAATTCTCTCTTCCCTATAATCTTCTACCATCTTTCTCAGATCTCATACTGAATTGATCGTCGAAGCTTCATCCCGGGAATTCCTCCCAGACGTTGACTAATTGTCATTTCTCTCTTTTTAATTGTGATAACAAGAGAATATACTCATTTGGATCCCTCCTACAGTTCTGACTCCATCCTCTTTAGCATATCATAAAATTTGGCAACATTCGGGCGTATCTTTAGAATGATACATCCACAAAACAAACCCATAAAGCAACAATGGAAGGCGATATCCTAGTGCCATCAGGAGAAGCGGAAAAAATCCCATTATGCTCAATGCAATCACTTAACAGCAGAAAAAATTTTGTTCAGGTGGAGCACGCCTCAAACCGCACACCGATCTCACATACATTGTCCAGTTCTACAGCCGAAATGGTGGCAACTTACATTGCCAATATATGGCGCCCAACAACCAACACAACCCCACAAATAAAAATCGTAACCACAACTCCACAAATCATCGCAACAAACAGAGATCCCTACATCGCAACAACAATCCTTTCAACACGTTCCGGGCATCGGAACTTGGATCCCTCACACCATTCAACCACAACCACAATATTCCTCGATGGCCCATCCTCACACCGCCACGGTAGGGTTGTCTCATGTGCTAATATTTACACAAAAACCGCAGAGCTTCAACGAGCTTGCACAGCAGACGCTCGGTACAACCCCTGGAATGTCTTAGCCTCAAATAACATGCATGCAGACTTCGTCCAGCCAGGGACCTGGCCCTTATGTATCAGACATTTAGTTCTCAGTAGCATCTATATTCAACCCTTTCATGGCAGCCAGTCAGCTGTACACACAACAGTACATAGGAGCAAGCCCATATCTAGTTCCTCTAGTAGGGCAATATAAAATCCAGAGCCTTGGATTGTAGCCAAACCTAAAACAATATTAGCCATACATCTCGCAGGAGGCCATGCACAACAGAGATCCCTGCATCGCAACAACAATGCTTCATGTACGTTTCTGGAACCGGAAGCTGGATCCCTCACACCATTCAGCCAAAAACATAATACTCCTCGATGGTCCATCCACACGCCGCCATGGCAGGGTTGTCTCATGTGCCGATATTTGCACAAAAACTGTTGAGCTTTAACAAGCTTTCGCAATAGACGGCAGGTGCAACCCCTACACCGTTCTAGTCACAAGTAACATACATGCAGACTTTGCCAGCCAGGGACCTAGCCCTTATGGATCCGACATCCAGCTCTCGGTAGCATCCAAATTCAACCCCTTCATGGCGGCCATTCAGTTGTACACACAAAAGTACACAGGAGAAAAACCATATTTAGTTCCTTTGGTAGGGCAATATGCAATCCAAAACCTTGGATTACAGCCAAACCTACAACAATATCAACCATACATCTCGCAGGCGACCATGCACAAACCTTGAAGCTTACTCAAGGTGATTTCCTCCTTGTTAATATGATAAGTCATCTTGAACTGATCATAACAAAGAGGTAAAGAGTGGAGAATAACATCAATCGCCAACTCTTCGTCAAAGTTTCCATTCAACTTAAGCAACCGATCCACATACTTTTGCATCGTTTGCAAGTGCCTCGTGATGGACTCTCCATCTTTCATCTTGGTTGTTATTAGCGAGGCAACAATCTCGTACCTTTCTTGATGCATACATTGATGGTACTTTTCCATAAAATATTGGCACATCTTGTAAGGCCAGTAGTCCTTATAGAATCTTTGTAGCTTAGGAGTCATAGTGGCTACCATTATACAAGACACCTTTGTCGTGTCCTTTCCGAAAGCCCTATACTAAGCTATCTGTTCGAGAGTAGATTTGGTTTCATCGATCTCGTTGAGTTTCTTGTCGAGAATGTATTCCTTCTCTTCTTATCGCAAGTCCGTTTGAATGTTGCGAATCCAATCATTGAAGGTGGAACCATCGAAGGTGATCCTCGCACAAATGTTCATGAGAGAAAAGGATATTGAGGAGTCGGAGTTCGTGGCAGAAGCATTGTTTGAGCCAGACATCTGAAAACGAAAAGGGAACAAAGTTTTTGTTAGATAAAGAATTCTTAATATAACACTCAAATGAAATATTAAGGCTAGGACCCAAAATGATAATTTACAATTCGAAAGAGGGATATCGTAATCCAATTGCAAATTATTTGAAGGTAGTTAAATGACAATTTACCAATTCCACCACAAAAAAACAAAATGAAAAATTAGGTTTTAAATGAAATGAAATTACTAGATTCTTTTGAGATTCATTGAACTTTTCAATGGCATGTTTAATCTCGATTATGCCCTCCAAATTTGTGACTGGAATACCGAGGATCACAAACAAGGTGTGAATAACCATGAAAATTAGCTTGGAACTCTCGATTCATTTATCACTTAATTAATGTGTCGGTTAACCACACATGCTCCATTGATCTATGATAATTCTCAAGCTACCCTTTGTCACCCTTGATAGTCCAAATTAGTGTGTCGGTTAACCACATATGTTCCACTAACGACATGGAAAGGTGCAGAGTGCAATTTCATGGAATAACATAATTGTCACATTTTCCTAAACTAACTTAGATTGTAAATTTATAAAAAAAACATTTAGTTACTTTATAATTTTCATTATACTTATTAATTTTCCTATGTTACTCGTTCGACTAACAACCCTCCACTAGTCTAGAGTGCGGTGAGTAAGAGTAGATATATAATGGTGGTCATTTTATAGGTCGCTTCCTTAAACACCCCTTATAGACCAGCTTCGTGAATGACGCTTACTAACGGTAAGACTGGCTCATCTTATATATATATATATATATATATATATATATATATATATATATATATATATATATATATATATTAATATTATAATAGTATGAGGGTTGTATTTTAAACTTTTAAAACACTAGGGTTTTAGAATTTAATATTTCAAAATTAAAATTTTAATCAAATTTTAAATTACAAAACTTGAGCGCAAGTTATAAAACTTTTCAAAACTTCTAGATAAAATTTTAAATAATTAAACTAATCAAATAATTTCAACATTATCTTAAAATTTGACCATTGTCTTTCAGTTAGATGAGGATGATTCTTATCTAACTTAGGCTTGAATTCCAAAAAAATCTGCCACCTGACGACCCAACTCGTCGAGTTAGGGCATGGACATGTCGACTTGGTCCAACTTGTCGAGTCCATCTTAGGACTCGTCGAGTTCTACAGTCAGAAAGCCAAAATCGATTTTGTTCACCTTTGGCCAAACACAATAGCATCCAATATAAAAGGAAAACACCCTAAGCTCTGCTACGATTGATGGGTTTTGAGCATTACAACATTCCTATGCTACCCATGCAACCCTATTTGCTTTGGATCTAGGTTTTTCTCATGTTATACATGAAAACAAATTTTCCAAAGTAAGAACCCTAATCTAGCATACAATTTTCGCATTCAACAATAAACGAGGGTTAGAAGAGTACCTTTTTAGTTAACTAGTAGTAACAAGCAATCCTTTCATTGATCTTAACCTTCAAGAGGTTAGTGCCTCAAGAGTTACACCTCTAATGGAGTCACAAACACCCCAAGAAAAGAATGGGGAGAAGGAGAGGCTGAAATTGGATAGGGTTTCTTTTAGGGAAGTAGTGGCCGGTTTCATGAGGCTTGGGGTTCCATTTATAGTTGAGGCTGATAGGGTGTTCAACTGAAAACCCCAAATTCCCTTACTTAGACCCTAAACAACACATGATCCCCCACATGGTAAGCCTTGGATGAAAACTCTATGGGCTTCTTATAGATTTTCGTCCACCTCCTACCAGTAGGATCCATTAGCCCAAACTACAACTATTACTGATTTACAGAATCAATCCCCATTCTTTTAATCAATCTATTTTGATCACTAAATTAATTACAAATTAATTTCTGATCAATACTAATTAAATAATATAATTTCTCAATTAGTATATTATTCTTATAATATATTAATAAATCATCTATCAACCTCTTTCTCCAAAGCTCATGTTGTCCAGTTTCTATGGTGAAGGCAACCCAAAAGGACCATGCTACTATCGGTTCAAGTACATGCCAATTATAGTTATGGGATTAGACACCTAATCCAAGAGTCTCTTACTAGGATAAGTCTAATAACTATAACTATAAGTACGCCTTCAAAATCCGATTAGCAATCATAGCTCTCAAAAGCCGTTGTCGAACTCTAACTTAGTCAATGACGCGTCCTTTAGATAAGGGATCATATAATCCTTCGTTCTACAAGATATTGTGTGGAAAATGACATGAAACATAATTATTCTCAATGTCCAACAGTTTGTTTCCCGACTTCTGATTTGTTTGACATAGAACTTAATTGAACACATCAATTTAGTCCTGACCAGGCCCGACATATAAGTCAACACAAAATCATTGAGGGGCCCAAGATATCACTTTTACCCTCTTAGGACAAAAGGAACATATAAACTTTGACTTATATGCTTGATTATTTACTCATCAAAGCGTACACAGCAACATGTTTTATATCATCAAGTTACTGATGCGTTTACGCATTATCAATGCACAACCAACTTGTAAACAATAACTCATATATCTCGGTTTAAAGATTAGATGATATTATCTTCTCACAATCACTCGTGTTAAATTCCATGAATGATTCACAAGAGCATGGGTTTAATCCGATACGTAAATCTTATTTCAAGGGAGCGGGTTGTCGGGAAGGTATCGGAATTCGTTACCAATAGTCAGGGACTTATGACATTTCAGGGTCGGATTTGGGTACTGTTTGTGGGCGGGACGCGTACCATTTTGATGGAAGAAGCACATCGATCAAAGTTCTCGATCCATCCCGGGGCTACTAACATGTATTTGGACCTAAAGAAGGAGTATTGGTGGCCCTGTATGAAGAGGGATGTTGCATGGTTCGTCGAGAGGTGCCTGACTTGTTGCCAGGTTAAGGCCGAGCACAATCGTCCCCATGGTAAGCTGCAGCCGCTGGAGATTCCCGAGTAGAAGTGGGAACAGATTACCATGTATTTTATCACCAAATTGCCAAGGACTGCAAGAGGGGTCGATGCGATTTGGGTGATTCTGGATAGATTGACGAAGAGCGCTCATTTTCTTGCTATCAGTGAGAGCTCTTCTGCTGAGAGGTTGGCAGAGTTATATGTGAGGGAGGTGGTATCGCGGCACGGGATTCCGATGTTGATTGTTTCAGATCGAGATGTACGATTTACTTCCAGATTTTGGAAGAAGTTTCACGAGGATTTGGGTACAAGGCTGCATTTCAATACCGCATACCACCCGCAGATGGACGAACAGAGTGAGTGGACGATTCAGACGCTCGAGGATATGCTCCGAGCGTGTGTTTTGGATTTTGGAGGGAGCTGGGACACCCATTTACCCTTGGCATAGTTTTCGTACAACAACATCCATCATTCGAGCATTGGTATGCAACCCTTTGAGCTGTTGTATGGGAGGAGGTGTTGGACCCCCATCTACTGGGGAGAGGTGGGGCATCAGGTAATGGGTAGTACGGAGATTGTGTTTCAGATGACAGAGCATATACGACAAGTCAGACAGAGATTGTTGACCGCTCAGAGTCGCCAAAAGAGTTATGCGGACAGGCGTCGGTCCGAGCTCGAGTTTCAGGTTGGTGACCTTGTACTCTTAAAGGTCTCTCTTTGGAAAGGAGTGATTCGATTCAGGAAGAGGGGCAAGTTGGGACCTCGATATATTGGACCTTTTAAGGTAATGGGTAGTACGGAGATTGTGTTTGGATCTACCTGCGGAGCTGGGTCAGATTCACAACACCTTTCATGTGTCGCAATTGAGGAAATGTATTGCCGACGAGTCGATAGTAGTACCATTAGAGGATATTCAGGTGG